CACCAGCCTGTATCGCCGCTGTCCACAAATCTAAATCTAATCTTCTGTGGGAATGCATAATATGATTGATTTTATATGCACCACAAAATAAACCATGGTGTGGCACACATCAAGCACTAAAATGTTGTAAAAGATATGAAAAGAAGGGGAAGAAAGTGAAACAAATGAATAGCCTTGTTTGTTTATGAATTTTTAAGTACGCCTATCACAGCAACATTTTCTTAAGGTATTATCCAGTAACGCCTAGTAATTTCTTAACAATCAAGAATGTTAATTCTTTCTTCCTCCTTCACGTGCAGACAAGGACGAGGATGAACAAGGCACGTCCTAGAATGTGTTACAAGATTCCCGGACAAAAGGTGACGCGCCATCTCTCAACAGTTCATTCTTTGTCCTCAGTAGAATTCTCCCGACAAATACAAACTGGGTGATAAAAGCAACCAAAGTTAAGATGCCTCAAGATTTTTCCCATTGAAACGGGAGTTTTAAAGGCACCAGCAGTGATTAAATCACTTCCTTTTTGTATTTATAAGAAGGCTCCTGTCAGGTGACAGAAAATGTTGACTGATGGACTATTCTGAACTGGAACACTCTGTAACTCTCCCTGTGAAGTCCTCTCCGGGGAGGGACTCCCGCTTGCCGTAGCCCTGGAATGGGACTTAAGATACAGATTACATGAAAGCCACCACTTTGTCAAGGTTACAGGAGATGCAACAAGAGACAGAACTAAGCTCCCTTGGTGCAAGGAGGGGTGAACTTCAAAAGGGGAGTAAGACGGCGAAGAGTGGGCTGCTTTCTCTGAAGGTTATCTGCGCGCTGCCGGTTGAGAAATCAAGACTGCAAATCTCAAAATGAAAAGTGTCCTTGCCACAAAGCCAGCGCGCGTGGGCTTGGGCTGGCAATGCCGGGAGCGGGGCTTCGCCTGCAGCCAGTCTGTTTCTCTCCTCAGTGTGCAGCCACCTGTGAAAGGAACTCAGGAAACCCTTCAGAGAAGTTCTGATGTTTCATGGCGAACCCTTTCTGCGAGAGCCGATTTACCCCATGCAATACTTTAGGTCAGAAGTAAAAACAGAAGCTGGATGCCAAGGCCAGATCTGAAGATGTGAGATCAAGGGAGATGGAAGAATGTCATTGCTATATTTATGAAATACGACATTTGAAAAATTACTGAACCCCCCCCCCCCAAATAAAAGCAAGACAATGAAGCAGGACTTCTGTCAGCAGGTGCCTCTAACATCAACTGAAAAAGTCCAGGGTCATCCCAGGAGTGGAAAATATATCAAGAATGGAAAATGCGCTGGGTGAGAGTTTGTTCTCCTCCTGAGCCTTTTGTCCAGGACACACGAAGCGATCTCTGTCCCTTATGCCAATTTGTTTACCTTAAACTATACAAACTGTATTTAAAGTTGAGTTGACCTCGCTTGAAATAGAAGAGAAATGTCCTGGAATTATCTCTGTGCCCTGTCCAGGGCCACAGACACCCTGAGGAAGAGTGACTGCCACTGATTTAAAATGCAAGAGGAGTGTGTCGTTGGAACCAACAAACCCAAATGAGATAGAGATAACGTTGATAACTGATAATATTATTATATCACTAATAAAAAGTATTGAAGTTTGTTGACTACTTACTATCAGGAAAATATACAACTGAGCCCTTTACATCTATTAATTCCAGTAAGTTTCTCAGTAATAAATATTCCTTTAACTCTCGTTACACAAAGTAGAAAGTGAAGCACAAGCAACTTGTCTTCGGTCAGGCACACTAGTTAACCCAGCTGGTCCGGCACCAGTACCTCTGTTACCTTCTTAAAATTTTACTTAACTGCCTAAGTTCAATGATGTAACCCAGCATTCAAGGCCCTCTATACACCCCCTTCTTCTTCCGCTTGCTAGCATCTCATTTATTTGCACCTTTGTGTAGAACTTCTTGCTAAGAGTTGTCCATATTCACCGTCTGTGATTCTTTTTTCTCCCACTCTCTCGACCCTGCTAAAATCAGTCTTTCAACCCTATCACTATCTAAACTGCTCAGTAAGGTCAACAGTGCCCTCCACACAGATAAATCCAGGGTCGATTCCTAGCCTGTAGCTCAGTGGAGCTGTAATTGGGATCTGACATTGTATCACTCTTTTCTCCTTGAGAGCCTTTCACTTGGCTTCAGGCACGTCCCAGTCTTTGGTTATCTCAATGGTCCTTCTGTGATCTCTTAGCTGGTTCCTTCTCATCTTCTTAACCTCTAACGCTGAGTAGCTGCAAGGCTCAGCTTTTGGTGATTTTCTGTGATCCTGCACAAGCTCATGGTTAAAGTTAAAGGTCCATTTACATGCCAATGACTCCAGCCCAGACTGCTCTCTGAAATCTGCAGCGATAACTGCCTCTGTGACACTGTCACTTGGATGTCCAATAGGCACTTCAAATTCAACACATCCCAAACCCTCCTTCCTCTGAATACCTGAATTACCTTCACCGTCCCTATTTCTGTTGTTAGAAACTCTATCCTTCCAATTGCTCACATCAAAATCCTTGTGGTTATTCTCCATTAAAAATGCATCTTTCGCCTTAGCCGGTTTGGCTCAGTGGTTATAGTCAGCCTGAGGACTGAAGGGCTGCAGGTTTTATTCTTGGTCAAGGGCATACACTTGGGTTGCAGGTTCGATCCCTGGCCCCAGTTGGGGTTGTGAGGAAGAAAATCTGCCGAACTCTCTCACATTGATGTCTCTCTCTCTATCCCTCCCTCTCCTCTACTCTATCTAAAAATCAATGGGAAAATGTCCTTGGGTGAAGAGTAACAAACAAACAAACAAAAAATAAATAAATTATTTCTCTCATACAAGAAAACCTATAGGTTCTACCTTCAAAAATATATCCAGAATATGCCACTTCTTATCACTACATGGCTTCTGTCCGCACCAGCAGTGTCCTGCTCCACTCCCAGAGTGTCTTAATTTGAATAAATTATAGCCACACTAATACAAGGCCGTCGGTGGTCTCACCCCCATCGAGACCTGTGTGACCTCCCGTACCTTATCTATCGCTTTCACTGGCCCTCACTCCCCTGGCGGTGCTGGTGTCCTTGCTAACCTTTGATAGGTCAGCCACACTCCTGCCCTTGGGCCTTTGTTCTAGTGTTTCCCGTCTGGAATGCTCTTTTCCCAGAGGCCCATGTGGCAAGTCACTGTTTCTTCACATCTTTGCTCAGTTATTAGATGTCCGAGACCCCGTTCACTGCTGCAGGAAGCATGTCCCTCCTCTCTGTCCCATTTACCCTGCTTATCTTTTTTTGTCTCCATTGCACTTACATTCTTTCAACAAATAATTGTGCTAACTCATTAATTCGTTTTATTTAATCCATTACTTGTCTCCCTCCACTAGACTGTAAGCTCTGTGAGAGCAGAGCTATTCTGATCACTGATGCACCTCAAGGGTAGCCCATGCCTGGCACATACATGTTGGTGACTATTTAACATGTGTTGAATGAAAAAACAAAGATGGAGGCCATGATGTCCTCTATCGTAGACATCTCTCTTTTTACCTCCCTGGTGAACTGTCTTTCCTCATTATGATCCTTCTGCTTGAAATAGACATTGCCAAAATGTCTAATTCAGGCTCAGAAAAACCTCTTCTGCTTCTTCTCCTTCAGCAGCTTAAGGATAAACACAGACTGATAGACTGAACATAGAAACTCTAAAATGGATTATTATTTACAATTTTCAGAACCAGTGATCAAAATGAGAGATCCATGGTGTTCTTACCTGACTGTCTTGCAGATGCCTGCAGGGAATCTGAAGCACTTACCTTTGAACTCAAGTTCATTTTCAAAGCTTCCCAGCGTAGCTGCAAAGTAATCTCTGACCAATACTGCCACCTACTGGTCAGGAGGTGAGAAATCAGGACAGTGAGGTTGAAAGTGCAACCCAGGTTAAGGAAAAGACGACAATGAAAAATCCCAGAAAGTCAGAAAATAAACTGCTTTTCCCAGAGTGCCTGAAAGGAGTTTGCACTGAATTCTACAGCAGCAGTAAACAAATACTGTGCAATCATAAAGAATTACAATAACTCCTTCAGAAAAGAATCAGTATCTCTGAAATATTAACAGGGCACCCAGTTTTCTATAAATATCAGCTCTCTGCTACTCACCAACAACTCCCTTAAAAGTTAGGACTCAAAACAAATGTATTTGTTGTTTTTACTTTCCTTCACACACAGCAAATAAGAAGTAATCTACTCTGAGATCTAAAATTTACTAGGGAAAAAAATGATAGAAAACACATTTGGGTTAATTCCAGGGCATTTACATATGAGGGTCTACACTATCAAGTCTCTCTTCAGAAGTGTAGCTAGACATCGATATTGGTCATTTAATGCAACACTGTTCAATGCCAGTAAACCTGGGTCACGAGTTCTAAGAAAAACTCAAAATAAAATGACATTTTCATATTTATTTACTAAGGTGTGGTACTTTTTCATAATCAAAAGCCTACTGCTGTATACCCCGCCCCCACCCTGCCCCAGGTAGTAAATGTAATAAAAATTAGTTGACATATGCTTTAGGAAATCATTTATCTAAATTATCACATTTACTACTGCCCTTTTTGAAGTTGTATACCTCAACTGTTTTAAGCACTTGATTTTGCTTTTATATTATTTGTTTTCATTGAAATAAACCATTAAAACAGCTTGCAAACTGAGAAATTAATTTTGTCAAAATCAGAAACAGAATACAGTGTGTTTCGAAAAATCCCAAAGAACAGAAATTTGCTAAGAAAAAACTAAAGGACGAAACAAGTTTCTATCTCCCATAAATCTTCCCACTTTAAAAATCACACAGGAACAACAGGAGCATAAAAGGGCAGAAGGAGCTATTAACAAAAACAAAAATAGCCCATTAGTACACTCATGAACACAGAGGATTAAAAGTAATAATTCCAAGAGAAGATAATTTAGAAAAATGCATTTAATTATTTAAAAAAAATTTTTAATAAAAAAGCAATGGCACAAATCACCAAAAAGCTAAATGATCATATATCCACAGGCTGTTCTTATAATTATATGCTAAAAGTTTATGACTGTTCTCATTACCAGCACTTTCCCTCCTAATTAGAGTGACATCAAGAGCTTCTGAGAAAGTGGAATTTTCCCTAAAGTACTACTACCCAAAGTATCATAAACACGGTTTGTGCAGCATCCATATACATCACCTTTTATTTACTACACTCTGAACTCATAAAATATTGAACATTTTTCTCTCACTTTATTCCTCTTATTTACAGTACAGAGGCTCATCTCTTGTCACAATACGGTTTGTGCATTAAAATCCCTGGGAAGAGTACTTGTCGCCACATTTTAATAAATTTACTCTGATTATTTCAAGTAAGTACACAAACAAAGCTTGTTTGTATGACTGTGTCATACCCAGAAGACTAACTCTGCCTGCAGACTTACTTATGAGTTTTAAAAAAAAAAAAAAAAAAACCCTTCAGTGGAATACATTCTCCACCCGTCCTGGATTAGCCTCTCATGCATATTTATGTTGCTGGTGTGACAATAGGTAAAGCTCGCTCCGACTTTCAAAATTTCATTTGCAAGAGGGAGGCACACACGAAGTGATTTGGCTTCCACTCTCTTATTACCCATAATCCAGTTATTCCACGTGGATATATTTTATTTATTCATAGTGCGCAAGTCTTAAGTGGTCCAGTAGTAATTGGCAGGTTCTGACAGTTCTATTTCCTTGATGGTGGATCCAGTTCTGTGCGCACATGTCAGATGAACTGACAAAAATGCAAATCACTTCATGCGACATAGCAGGGAGAAGGAGAATGTTATTGTTGGAAGAAATGATTCAAAGAGATGCATATTCAACATTCGGCAGTGGCAGGAATACTGTGGAATCCGGGCTGTTTCAGGACGTGCTGCCTTCACAACTTGCCATACCTGGTGTTTGTTATCTTTTTTGGTTAAAAAGCAAACCTAATTGGGGGAAGGCAGAGTGAGGAGGACAGAAAGGTAAGAAAGCATATATTATTGTAGACAAGATTTTAGGAGAAAACAGCGAGAGGGAAGAGGATACATTTCTTATAATAATAACAAAAAAAAATGACGTCACATCTGGGCACATGTCACAGAGTACATGAAAACAGCCTACAAGCTAATGGAGTCTCTTTCCTTTCACTCCAGAGAGATTTCTTTTCTAAAAATATCAATAATAATAATTAACATAATTCTGGCAGCAGCACGAATCTATAACTTCTTAAGGCCTCCAAGTGTCGCTCGTCAATGGTTGGGCACATCTGGATAACGAAAGAGTCCCTGGTTTCCTTGTTTACACTCTTGACCCAGCAAGTATCACCAGAGAGGTCCCTGTGGTTACACGGGCACAGTCCCTACGACGGCTTGGGCTTCACCACCCACTCGGCGTTCGGGTTGAGCTGGTACAAGTCCTTCATGTAGGTGTCATCATCAAGGCAGCGTCCCCCTGTGAAGACACGTCGCGTGTGCTTAGTGCAGCGGGGCGGCTGGGGTGCCACTTGGAACTTAAGCTTGGGTCTCAGCCTTTAAATATTTTTCATCCTTTGTTATCTCCCATATTATAAAACTTGGCCCAGAATATAGGAGGAGTCAATGTTGTAGTCTTTCTATAGACGCACAGATTTCTAACATGTTCAGGAAACTGAAACTATTTTGTGTGACAGACTTTTAAACGGTACCTTAAAAGGGTCTTCACCCTTGTTAAGAGTAACAACAGACTCCACCTAAGAAAGAAATCACACTTCATTCCCCAAATCTAAGAGTAAAATACAAGATCAAATGTGTTGATATTTAAATAGTCCTTACTAATAAATTAACAATTTCAGGTTTCTAATGAAGTTGTATTTTATTTAAATTTTTTAAATGAGCCTGCATGTCTCTGCATTCAACTTTTAATATTTACTAACACTTTTTTTTTTATCCTTACCTGAGGATATTTTTTCCATTTTTTGTACAGATAGAGTGGGAGGGAGAGAGAGAGAGAAACATCGACGTGAAGGGACACATCGAGTGGCTGCCACCCGCACGACCAACCAGGGCCGGGGACAAACTGCAACTGAGGTACGTGCCCTTAGCGGGAACCGAACCCGGGTCTCTCCGGACCGCAGGCCGATGCTCTAACCGCTGAGTCAAACTGGCCAGGGCTATTTACTAACACTTTTAAGTCCCAGAAAAAAAAATTCTACAGAACTTATCTTAAAATATTTTCAATTACTAATTTGAAATAAACACCATTTCATTTATTTGTTAACAGTTTCACCCTTACCATATAAGGGTCTACAAAAAGGAGGGGGAGCCCTGGCTGGTTTGGCTCAGCGGTTAGAGCATCGGCCTGCGGTCCGGAGAGACCCGGGTTCGGTTCCCGCTAAGGGCTTGTACCTCGGTTGCAGTTTGTCCCCGTCCCTGGTTGGTCGTGCGGGTGGCAGCCACTCGATGTGTCCCTTTCACGTCAATGTTTCTCTCTCTCTCTCTTTCTCTCTCTCTCTCCCACTCTATCTGTGCAAAAAATGGAAAAAAATGTCCTCGGGTGAGGATAAATAAAAAGGCATTTAACTATTAGGAACCGAGATAGAGGCAGGGAAATGTACTCATTGCTCAAAAATAAGACTGAGTTGCTTCTTATTTCTCCCTGCTGGATGGTTGCACCCTCTGCAATTATGCTAAATTACTTAAAAGACAAAAAAAAAAAAAAAAAAGGAGGGGGAAACTTTATTTTCAATTTTAATAAAGACATGAGCACAAAAATGGGCAAACAAAATATAAGACATGGTCAAAATTAATCCATTCATCCTTTTCTGTTTCCTAAATTACCAGCATGCATGCGTGTGTACTATGTAGTAGGAATTCACAATGGTGAAAACAGCTTCTGCTCTCACTAAAAATATCTAGCACTGTATCATGATAAAAGTGTTCTCTTGCTCTTAAATAAGCTCAACTACTTCCTTTATTAAGATATGACATAAGCATATAAAAAAGAAAAAAAGTTTTGAAAAACCTCATTAACCATTCTAGAAATTATGTCTATCTTGGGGAACTTGCCTTTGCTGAAATTCGACATGGACGGAAATGTGTCAAGAAGGAGCTCAGGGTCTGAAGAGAAAGGCCAGAGCACTAGACAGGCCCACAGTGTCATCGGCCGTCCACAGGGGGCTCTTGTACTCCTACGGATTTCCCTCCTCCCTACCCCCGAAGGATATAGATAATCATCAATGACAATGTCAAATCGGCATATGAAATACAAAGAAAGGAAAAAAATGTGCTTACCAATATTTCCTCCAATTTCATACAAAAAAACGTCTCCCTTCTTGAGAGTCTGGGCAATCCCACTATTAGGGACAAAACAAACTGATTAGTTATATCATCAGACAGCTGGTAAGTAAATCACTTTAATGTGCTTGGGGAATTATAGCTTGTATGGAAAATTCATAACTTAGACACACTGTAATTATCTACACATTTGTATTTTCCCATCTGTTAAATGTGCCTAAGAGGTAATAAAAATGTCACACCTGTAAATTAAAATGAACAAATAGAATCATACATCTGAAGGCAAAATAACAAATTAATATCTAAAGGTGTAAGATTACAAAGAAAATAGCATAACATTTTAGTTGCCAATAAAATTATTAATATGATCATCTGCTTGGTATAGGGGCCAAAAGGTCCTCGTAAAACTATGAAAAGAAGTCTCTGCACCTTCGTTTTCCCACTGCTCTCATTCAATCGCATTATCAGGGGTCTGCTGAGCTGAGGGCGCTAAAGGTATTCCAGCGCAACGAGGAGGACTGGACGTGAGTCATACCCCTCCCGGTGTCGGCCATCAAACGTGGGAGGGCCCACACTCAAGGCAGAAGCAAATGCTCATTATGAAAACTTTATGAGTAGGACGCATTCACAGGTTTAAACTCCTCAAAGAATAAACTCTTCCAGACACATTAGGTTCAAACAATAAAAACTGGTAAAGTTCAGTGGTTTTCAAAGCTCTTTGTATACTAATTGCCTGCGAAACCTGCTAAAAATTCTGTTCAAGAGCTCTGAGAACTCTCATTTAATACAGCTAGATGAAACCCAAGAATCTTTTTAAATGCGCTATAGTGGGTGCTGATGCATGAAAAAGTTTGTGAACCACTGATAGAAGGCCCTGAAGACACATTCCCTGCAACTGAGCAGAGAACACCAAGTCTGCCTTTTATCCAAACTGTTATGGAAAATATGGTACAATAGAAGCTTTCCTAACCAACCATGTAATGACTTACCTGACTATCCAACTCTGTCTCCTCTCCTCTGATCAGGGCTACACACATCCTACATCCTCACGCTTCCGAACCACCTGCTGACGTTAATTCTAACTACGAGGTTTTGTTTCCAAACTGGTCAGACTGGTGTATGCTTATTTTCAAAATTAAATAACGTATAATTATATTTTTATTTATAATATGTACACCACCCAGTAAACTATGAGTACACAGAGTCTTTATTCCTCTGAAAACCAAACTGAATGTTTTGGGAGACTGGTGCACCCCTAAGCACAAGGAATAGGGCTGAGGACTTGGAGGGGGGATACAAATGGGCAGAGTCTACCAGAATTCCCTCGAGGTGGAGCAGGAATGGGGAGATGGGAGGGACTAGGGGAAGGGACTCTGCCCCAGGAGGTAGCATATGCTCGTTTAATAAAAGCACCACAAGCAGAAAACCTAAATATACAGAGGGCACCTGTCACGAAGCTGGTGCTTTCTACAATACGCCTAATATGGTTCGTCGTCACCCTAAATATTAAAGTCACTGTTGAACACGTACAAACTCACTGTCACATCTTGTATTGTCTGCAAGCAGAGGAACAAAAGCACCAGCTCAGGTGCGTACTTGGGTCCTGGAAGTACGTTGTGTAAAATGAACCAGGTCTAGCCTGCAAGAGCGGCCTGCACCTGAAGCCTGGCTGCATCTCCAGGAACACACTCTGGGTCAGGAAGAATCCCCCCTCACTCTGATGGCAACAGTTGGTATCTGCTCGGTCACGGTGGGGAGCAGAGAGGAAGTGGGTCGACTTCGTTTTGGATCAGAGACCCTTGAGGGAGCAAAGACATCTGAAAAATTCCAACGCCTCCCAGGACTTAATCCTGATCCTAACTCCCCCTGATCTTAATCCCCCCAAATTCCATCTACTCCCAGACGGTGCCCCAAGGACCCCCAGGTCTGTGATGGTCTCTGGACCCTCCAGCCAGACTGGCGTGGCCCAGGACCGTCTTTGGAGACAGAAATCACAGATTTAGAATTCAGCTCCACCACCTACAAAATGTGTGACCTTGGAAAGTCTCTATTTTCTTATCAGTAAAACAGAATACGAGAGCTTGCTTGGGAGTGCTGTCGAGAGGGGAGTTTATGCTGGCTTACTGAGAGCCCAGATATTACCAAATAAGCCTCTCTTTTATTTCATCACCATCTGTTCACTGCACAGGCTCATCTCTTTTCCCACTTTATAAATCCTGGGGGGAGATGCTTTAAAGTATATTTTTATACCCCTTCCAACTTCTAGCAGAGGGCCTTCAGCAGAGCAGAGCCATATTAAGCACGGGTGCACCGTGTTAAAACTGGAGGGGTTTTGGAGCAAATGCACGAAAGCCCCTGGATGCTGAAAGGAGGAGATGAACGTGAAGGCTGAAACGGAGTATTCGCATGCTAGGGTGGCAATGCCCCTATTTCCCTGACTTGTAAAAAATTTAGATTAGTTCATTCTCAGTGAATGGAAACAGAGGGAGGAGAGCATTACAATTACAACTTCAGCTAAAACTAAGGCTTCAAAAGCTAGAAACGGACAACGCGATATACTTGTTGGAACCTTGGAAATTCAAGGAAAGATATGCAAATGTCTCCGAAAGTGAAGCTCTAGTGTCTTCGGAAGGGTGCCGAGGGCTTTCACAGGACTCTCCCTGTCCCGCCAGCCCGGGAGGAGAGGGGCAGGCTGTCCCCACTGCGGGCGAGAGCTCCAGGGACCCCTCTCCTCCCTTAATTCTTTGCCTTCTGTTTTTAAATGTGAGCGTTTTTTATTCATTATATTTTATAGAAAAAGTTGTATCTTTTATTTGTTTTAAGCCTACTGCATCCCAATTAGTGATTATCCTAACACACAGCAATGAACCTCCAATCAACATACTCTGGTAAGGCTGCTGAGTGGCCCCTGTGCCAACCCCACCGCGGGCCCAGCGAAGGGTGCTCAGACATCCCACTTGAACCAGTCACCGTGAGCACAAACTACATACATCAAAGGAACTCGGCTCATCCCGACAGCCTGATTGTTACATCTGCTCTTCTTCTGTGCTGAAAAGACAAAGATTCTGTGCACTTCACACCACCCATAGTTTCAAAAAAAAAAAAAAAAAAAAGGCAGGGCACAGGAGCGGGGGGGAGAGCAAGCAAGTGACTTATACCATGAAATAATTAAAACAAAACAGGCCTCTACCTTTCTTGGCTGAGAAACCTGGCAAGTACATCACTGGCTTTTAGTTCTTCAGTTAGCTGTATTGCCATGGAAACTTTGGAAAGATGGGGAGCTTGCACTCGAATCACTCCCTGCGGAACGTCAGCCTGCAAAGCAATAATGAGACTGAACAAAGCTGGCGGCAGCTGGAACCTGTAACTCGGCACAATGCATTATATGGTAAGTGTGCTTAACTACTACGCATTTTACTTCACTACATAAAAACCTTAACTACTGTATAATGTAATTTGCTAAATTACATCAAACCTCAAATATCCTCTTAATGGTGATAGGGGAACTTTATAATGCCTGTGCAGTAATGCTTAATTATTTTTAAAGATGTAAAGAATGACAGCAATAACCATTACTGCCATGTTAAGTGCTGACTTCTGAGTATTATCTACTGGAGGGTGCTTCTTCATGCAGCAATTTATGAAATTGAATCAGAAAAGTTATTTTGTGTGCTGTTTCAATGCATGCATTTTAAAAATCTTCCAGCAGATTCACAAAATGTGACAAAAATGTTTGTCCCTGAGAATATTTTTAAAAGAAGAAACATACTTTTCTAACACATTTGTATCGTGTTTGATCCTCGCTTGACTAATGAGCTTACACTGGGACCGCACACTCTGAATGTTTGATCAACAATTCTAAACCCTGTGCCCAGGGGTGTTAAGAATACTTTATGACCCTGGCCAGTTTGGCTCAGCAGTTAGAGCAACAGCTTGCAGACCAAAGGGTCACAGGTTCGAATCTGGTCACGGGCACATACCTGGGTTGCAGGTTCAATCCCCAGCCCCAGTATGGGTCATGTGGGAGGCAACCAATCGATGTGTCCCTCTTTCTCTCTCTTTATCCCTCCCTCCCTCCCACACTTTCTCTAAAAAAAGAATACTTTATGTATTTGGAGGGATATCAAGAAAATATTTTGAGGATTGTAATATCAAGATATACACTATGGTATTTGAAATATTAGGCTTAATTAATTCCTAATCATTCTGCTAAAATAGATAGTAATTTATTATTTATAACCATATGTCTTAAACATTAGAACAAACAGCATGCCACAAATTTGAATATACATTACAAATACCGTTTAATACAACGTACATTTATTAAGCATCCACAAAGTACCAGGCACTATGCTAGGTTCCTTACCTAGTAGGTAAGTAAGACACAAGTCCTTTATTGCACAATATTATTTGGGGGCTCACAATATATATTTTTAATGTACATGGCCTTGAATTGGTTTTTCTTTTCTGTTTTAACACAAAGCATGGATATAACACAGGTGTAATTAATGTGATTTCAAAGTTCAGCAAAAATAATATGGCTTCAGAATTAAGCTGCATAAAAATTCAGGTGTCTCCAAAAGATTTAAAACTGCTTCTCAGTAACATCTGAGATGCAGCGTGGGAATAAGAAGCTCTAAGACTGTACAAAGAAGCATGGGATTGTGTATGTCCTCCTCGAAGGTTGCAAACACCTGTTGCAACTGCAGAGCGACCGTGAAGGACCCCTCGCCAACCTCCGAAACTCTGCCATGGCCACCTGACCCCTCAGTGAAGGGCCAGACGTGTGCACTGCAACCCGGACAAAGACAAAGTGCTTGGAGCTGCCCACTCCCTGTCCCGCCGGGGGAGGGGCTGCATTCCCAGCACCCTTGCCTAACTTTTCTTCCTGGGGGTCCTGTGCTCCACCCGATCTCTAACAGACACCCCAATCCTAACCCGTGTCCGGATCCCTCGCCTCCTGCTTCCTCTGTCCCTCCCAGCCTGGACCCTGGCTTGGTTGCCGACTTGCAATTTCAGCGGCATGTAGCACCACCTGACACCTACTCAGGTCTCTGACCTCCGTTTGCTTCAAGACGACAAGTCTGATCTACCTTTTCCTTTAAGTCTGTGATAGATTTTATTTTCATTTGCAACTTGTTAAATGAGCTGCTTTTTACAATGGATGGGGCATTTCACGTGGGAGCGTCATTACCTTTTTCTTTCAAAGCAGTTGCTACACTAAGGGTGTATCTCCCAACTCAGGGATCAGGCTACACGGTCTCCCTGGACTTTCTTCTGTCACTCACGCCCTGCTGTGGCCTCACTGCGGCCGGCCTGGCCTAGCTGTGTGTTTCCTCAGAGGACGTGGGACACAGTGAGCTGGCCCTGGCGACAGGGATGTTGGAGTGAAGACTGTAACAGCAACAGTTGAAGCACAGACTCTGTGTTCACAAAACCCAACTCACCTTGTCTACTCAGTTAGGGGAACAATACTGGTACCTGGGACTGTTGGTCTATTACCATTACATTACTGCGGGCTTGGAATAGCAGGCTGGGGTTTGCAGACAGACACCTACTCTGCTGACTTCTGCTTCACTCACCGTGCCCAGTATTCCCGGACGTAGGCTTTCTTGGTGAAAAGTAACAGCGACAAAAATTGTTCCAACAATTGTGTCTTATCCAACCCCAGAATGTCACAAAGACAGGCAAATCCATGCTGACGTTTAAAGTGAGGCAAGGTGATCTGATTGAGTTCTTACACCCGGAAGGTCCACAGTGAGCGACACAAGCCCAGGGACCCAGAGAGTGACAGTCAGGGACATGGCAACTGCCCGCTGCTTCCTGCCTGTCCCCCACTGTTCCTGGTGGCACATTCTACAGTCAGAATTCACCACAGACACCATGCTTCCTGCCTTTACGTATCTCGATTTCACCTCTGAAATACCCCGCTACCAGTTTTCAAGGCCCAGCTCAAACACCACCAACTCCATGGAACCTTCCATGATCCACGGGATCAAAGGGGAGTGACTCCTCTGTCCGCTGAAATGTCCACCGAACCTCTTTTATGACAGAGACCTGACATATGACACCAGGATTCTGGTCACAGCCACACGTCCAGCTGCATCTGTGGCCATCTACCAATGTTTATTGATAAATGTATCGTTCGAAAATATTTCTCACTAAAATTGGTCTGCTAGGAATAGTAAAATGTCTCTAGAATAAAATGAAGTATAACAATGTGTATTTCCTTACTAGCAAAAACTAGGAACATTGTCTAAAAGACACCAGTTCAGTTGCCTCTGGTATCTCTACCCCTGAGAACACACAGGAAGGAAAAGAGAGTGGAAAAAGGAATTAAAAAGGCTACAGGGATAATCCAGTCATTCCCCCTGCAGGGCGGCACCAACCTTCGCCTGTCTCTGCTTAAGGATACAGCCCCCTCTCCCCCAAGGCAGCCCATGAGCAGCTGAAGGCCTCCTACTATGACCACGACCAAACGTGCTCTCTGAGTTCGGGGATCACACTTGGAGAGACAACCACGTTTCCCTATAAAATGCAGCCCTGAGGCCAGCGTGGTCAAGGGTTGCACCCGAAGTCACTACAGGGACCGGGAGCCCAGAGCCTCCCTGCTAACTAGAGTCTGGAAGGAGGCGGCCCAGGCACCAGCTTCCAAGGGCACTCAGGGGCTCTGTGCATGTGAAATGTTGGGTAGCCGCCGCGCGATGGCTTCGGGGGTGGCAGCAGCACAGGCTTCTCGTGGCTGTGGAATTAAACACTCTGCACACCCTTCCCCTCAGTGAGCGGGGGCTGAGCGAGGCCAGCTCCGAACAGCTTAAATCCGTACCATCTGGACTCGTTTCACATAGAAATGGAGTGTCGGTGCCCTTGAAAACCTCTTCACCGGGCCCATGATGGCACCCAGCACCTTCCTGGGTCAACTGGCCTCATTCCCTGACGCTGAGGATCCTGTGCCCTAGCAGGGAGGCTGTGTCCGGCGGAGAGAGGAGCGGTTCTCAGGGTGTTCGTGTCTATGGCAATAGACCCCATCCAAATTCTCACAGTGTATAAAGATCGAGAGAGACTCAATTCGACTTTCCGGTTGGAGAAGAATCTAGTTTAGCTGGTAGATCCAACGGTTAAAGATGAAGTGATCAAAAGTTGTTTCTGGAAAGTTTTTCCTGGGTATCTTTGACAGGAGCGGCCAAATGATATTTACTAAAGATGATCAACAATACATGATGCCAACGCTCTCATTGAAATGGTGTATGACAATTACCATTAAGCTCCAGAATCATGCTGTATCAAATACTAAAGCTATTAGTATACTAATTACATTGAGCTGCCAAGCTTTGAACAGACACAACATGTCTGATCATTAAGCCAAACAGTCTGTTCCTAACTCGAGCCTTAATAATAGCTGGATCTGTGAATAGCATTATCTTTGTAACCCTCGTGTGTGTGTGTGTGTGTGTGTGTTGAAGTTATGTGATGTACGGCAAGACTGAAGAAGAGCAATATTGACTAACACATCATTAAAATTGAGTCACCAAGAATTTTACAATTTACAAAGCATTAGTTAATTTCTTACGTATGCAAAGACTAATATAATAGAGAAAATGATCTATGATCCTTACATGTTTTACAGTTTGAACTAAGTATATTTTTAAAAATAGTATTTTATTTATTATTACTTAGTTAAATAAACAATGATTTGGTATTTTTCATAAGGTGTAGACAAACACTACATTGCTCATATTTTTACACTCTGGAGATTAGAAATGTAATGTCAGAGCTTTAGAAGAAACGTTAATTTCTTTTATTAAAAGCTCATTTAAATGTAAAGCCAACATGTTTAATGCTAGAGAGAAACCTTTTATCTTCAAAGGGGCAAATTGAAAATATAGCTATCTAAAAAAAAAAAAAAAAGGCCAGACATCATAACACATGTTTTAGAAAATTAAACAAGGACATTTTAGCAAGGTATCTTAAACTAAAATGACATATTCATCACCCGAGTCTGATTGGAGGTAAAAATATAGAAGGCATTCTCTACTACTTTGAATTGTCTCTGTTCTGATTATAACTGGGCCTTGGTTATCCAAATGCTGAAACTTTTACCCAAATCACAGATTCAGAGAATTTTAAAGAAGCATCTGAAATAACTCCCAGAGTTAATAAGCATTTAATTTACAACGAAGTAAGTTCTAATATTCTTCTCTTTCAATATGGTATTTTTATGCACTATAAAAAATCAAAGGCCATCTTAAGAAGAAACACGATTTTGTGCCTGATATTGTAATTTGATTTTCCACATGGGTCCCCAAGTAAATCCA